ACTCAATTGTTATATTTAACCTTTAAAGGGAGTTGTGTAAGAGCACAGGGTCTGGTTGGTTGACCTTTGATCTAGAGATTGAAATGACCCTTAAAAGGATAAAGCGTGAGAAGAGGTTGAGAAAAGAAAGAGAAAATAAAAAAGAGAAAGAAGTTTAAGAACAGACCGTCGAGATGAATAGAAATCCACAAGATCCTCTACCTCCACAAAATCCACCTGTGAATGGATATATGGCACGTGGAGTAGCAAACTGAGCACAAAAAGTGCCTAATCCGATCCTAGTATCAGATAACCGAGATGTACACATGTGGAACTATGTCACTCATGCGTTCCATAACTTAAATTCAGGGATAAGTAATCCATTACCCCAAGCTACATAGTTCGAGCATAAGCCAGTCATGTTCCAGATGTTGCAGATGATGGGCCAATTCGGAAGGTTAACTAACGAAGATCCTTACTCTAATCACAAATCTTTCATTGAAATAGCTAATGCATCTCAATTTCCTGGTGTATCTAAGGATGCACTAAAACTAAAAATGTTTCCTTTTTCTCTCAGGGACGATGCAAGGACTTGGCTAAACGCGCTAGAACCAAATTCTATCATCACGTGGGCGGGACCGACGGATAAATTTTTGGCAAAGTACCATACTTTGACAAGGAATGTTGACCTTCGAGAAGACATTGTGTCTTTTCGACAAAAGGAGAACGAAGTAGTTCAAGAAGCTTGTGAGCGTTTTAAGGAGTTACTTAGAAGATGCCCGAGCCATGGGTTGCCCGTATGTGTGCAAATTGAATAGTTTTATAGAGGATTGGATCGTTAATGAAGAATGACATTGAACACCATAACCAATGGCTCATTGTTAGAAAAGTCAGTTAATGAGATCGTTGATATTTTGAACAAAATGACATAAATTAATGACCAAGGAGAAATAGGAAGTTCATTGCCAAAGAAGTAAGCATCAGCCAGAATATTTATGTTAGACACAGTAGCCTCAATTCAAGCCCAAATGGCAGCTATGAACCAGATGTTAAAACAATTGACAATGGAGAAGGGAATCAAAATCCTCACTTCAGCGGCGATTCTTGAACCCTACCTTGTTTTACAAATTACAGACATATCTTTTGTTTATTATGGTGATAACCATGTGTATGAGAACTGTCTAGCTAATCCAGCGTTTGTTTTCTATGTAGGTGAAGGTGCTTGGTGGAATTTCAATCCAGATTTAAATACTTACAACCCTGGATGGAGGCACCATCCAAACTTTTATTGGAGTACCCAAGGAGTAGCAAGTAGCAGTGCGCAACAATACAAGCAAAACTACACTCCTTTTGGTTTTCCCACGAATCTAGCATTGCAGCCACAACAATACAGTCAACAAAGAGCTCAAAATAACACTCAGCAAAGTGGTAAAAATGGAAGTTTGGAGGCCAGGATGAAAGAATTCATGACAATAACTGATGCTGTAATAAGAAACTTGGAGATGCAAGTGGGGCAGATAGCGAATGACCAAAAATATAGACCACGAGGTACACTGCCAGGACACACGGAGAATCCAAAGTGAGATCGTGAAGGAAATGAGCAGTGTAAGGCAGTAGTCACAAGAAGTGGACTGAGTTATGATGGACTCTCCCTTCCAAATGAAAAAACCGATGCAGTTAGACCTGTTCCTGCATCCACATCTACTCCACAACCAGAAGAGAAACCAAAACTCGTAGGTTCATAAGAGAGGTAAAAAGGCTGACAAAGGTAAGCAAGTAGTCCCATGCACTACTCCGCAGATAGGTAATATTAAGATTCATCCACCTTTCCCCTAAAGGCTAGTTAAGAAAAATAAGGATAGTCATTTTAAAAAGTTCTTTGAGATTTTAAAACTGTTGCATAAAAATATACCTCTCATATATGCTTTAAAGCAAATGCCTGACTATATTGAGTTTTTGAAAGATATTATTTCTAGGCGTAAGAAGTTAGGAGAACATTAGACGGTATCCCTAACAAAGGGCAGTAGTGATGCTTTCGGGAATCCATTGCCTGCTAAATGTAAGGACCCAAGTAGTTTTACTATCCCTTGCTCAATAGGTGGTAAGAATCTAGGGAGAGCATTGTGTGACTTAGGGGCAAGCATTAATCTTATGCCTATTTATGTCTTTAAAGAGTTAAATATAGAAGAAGCTCGTCCTGATACTGTCACGTTGCAACTAGTGGATAGGTCCATTAAAAAACCGGAAGGAAAAATAGAAGATGTGCTTGTTAAAGTTGATAAGTTTATTTTTCCCGCCGATTTCATAATTTTGGATTGTGAAGAAGATCTTGAGGTGTCGATCATTCTTGGGAGGCTGTTTTTAGCAATTAGATAAACAATATTCAACATTCAGAAAGCAGAGATCACTATGAAGGTCAATGATGAGCAAGTCACCTTCAACGTCCTTGACGCGATGCGGATCGCGGATGAAGTTGAGGAATGCTCTACAATAGGGGCAATCATGGAGAAACTCCAAGAGATAATTGTGGAAGACTTAGAAGCAGATTTGGAGGCCGTAGAAGAAGAAGCAAAATTGCTTCTGGCGCAATTTTGCCACAGTATGAGTATTTTGAGTTGTTGCAACCGACAATTGCTGATTTGAAGGCCTTCCCACCTTACATTATTGAACCTCCATAACTGGAGAAGAAATCCCTACCTTCTCATTTAAAACATGCTTATTTGGGTTTAAACGATACTTTGCCAATTATCATTTCTTCATATTTGTATAATGGACACGAACCTTTACTTTTGCAGGTTTTATCTAAGTACAAGAGGGCTATTCGATGGACCATAGCGGAAATAAGAGAAATTAGCCCTACCTTTTGCGTGCATAAAATCATCCTAGAAAAAAGAGCCACCAATTCTATCGAGATCCAAAGAAGGCTGAACCCCAAAATTAAAAAGGTGGTCAAGAAGGAGATAATAAAATGGTTAGACGCTGGTGTGATCTACCCCATTCCAGACAGCAGCTGGGTTAGTCCGGTTCAATGCGTTCCCAATAAGGGTGGTATGACAGTGATTACCAACGATGAGAACGAGTTGATCCCGACAAGGACGGTGGCTGGTTGGAGAGTGTGTATAGACTACCGTGTCGCCTAAATAAGGTAACTCGAAAATACCATTTTCCACTATCTTTTATTGACCAAATGCTTGATCGTCTTGCAGGGAAGGAGTGCTATTTCTTCTTAGATGAATATTCTGGTTACAACCAAATTACAATTGCTCTGGAGGACCAAGAAAAGACCACTTTCACATGTCATTACGTGAAATTTGCGTTTCGGAGGATGCCGTTCAGTCTTTGTAATGATCCCGCCACCTTCCAAAGATGCATAACTGCGATCTTTTGTGACATGGCAGAAAGCATGGTAGAGATATTCATGGATGATTTTGTTGGGTGTGTTGCCCTAAACTCGTAGTTTGTATTTATGTAAAAACAAATGTATATTCAATAAAGTTTTATTCAATAAATTTGTTGTTGAATTCATTGCATTACATTGTCCAAAATCCAATAAACTAAACATCCAAGGTTATTTTAGTGTAACCGGGACAGTATATATACTGGGTATATATTTGATATACCCCTGATATGCGAGGTATATATTTGATATACCCTGATATACAACTGGATAATGTCCCGTGAATAACCTAAAGGGTCTATAGTATATGGATAAGGCTGGGTACCTTATCTGGCAACACTATGGATACGGCCCACTCTGTAAAGGTTACAGACGACTTGATCCAGGTCGTTCGTGTGGAGACATGCGAGTGGGGGTATCCTATAGAATGAGTTTGTATAAGACTGGACCACGAAATAGTCAATCTTTAGATGTAACACTGTTACTACAACAAATTTGCCTTTTCATGACGGGCATTGCCTGTCATTAAATAATAACCATGTCGGTCACTGACCGACATCTATACGAGTGTCCTTGTTTCCCTTTCATGTCGGACAGTTTTAAGGTCGGGCATTGCCCGTCATGTATATTCTCTTTCCATCCGAACATGGCCGTCATGAAAGGACTATTTAAGGTCGGGCAGCGCCCGTCATGTATAGCGTTTTCCATGACGGACATGCCCGTCATGAAATGATAACCATGACGGGTGACAACCGACATTGTATGTGTGTCATTGTTTGTACGCCATCGTATGTTCGTCGTGGAATGACTATATTTTGTGACAGGCATTGACCATCATTATTTTGTGAATAAATTAATTAAAAAAATATTTGGTTGCCCAGACGTGGCTAACCAACTATATATATTTCCTTCAAACCTATGATAATATTTCAATATGCAACTAAAACTTTTAACACATTCATCCATTATAAAACAATATCTATTATAAAACTTAACTCAAAAACTAACCTTAGACTCAAAACACAAATAATCAAAAGTACAAATTTCAACATAACCTCTCCACTTTTAGAATAACTCAAAACTAGCCAACAATATATCTCTCCCTTCCAACCTATTCTATAAAAGCTTAACAAAAACACAAACAATCAAAAGTAAGTACAAATTTCATCATGACCTCTCCAATTTAGAATATAACTCAAAACTAACCAACCAATATATCTCCTTCCAACTTATTCTCACAAAATAATTCTCAATATTATTGAAACTCAAAAAATAATAGGCAAGTAAAACTAATTTCAACATCATGATCTTCTAAAACTTAACTCAAGAACTAACCTTAAACTCAAAAAACAAATAATCACAAATACAAATTTCAACATAACCTCTCCACTTTTAGAATAACTCAAAACTAGCATGGTTATAAACAAAACAAACACTTCTATATTAACACCCTTCCACACAAGAACAAATGGGATCGCCCGTCTCTCCAACAAAACTACATTCAGCATAAGAATCCAGACTTCTATATATTATAAACAAAACAATCCAACACATTCAGCATTATCAATCAAATATTTCTATAATAATCCAAAACTAATATGTTATGTAGTACCATATATACACCATTCAAACTTCCACATATTATAAACAAGACAATGTATTTCTAATCTACCAAGTACTAAACAGAAAGTAGTCTGAACCAAACACTTACATCAAATAAACACAACTAATGAATTCATAGGTACTACACAAATCGTCCAACAAAAGATGTCCATTCTATTCGAACTTCGTCAATTTCTTCTTGTTGATAGGCACTTTTTGTATTAAACTACAAAAAAAGAAAAAGATAGACAATTCTAATATAATGACAAATCATATATAAACACATAAAGGTATATGATAATACGTACAAGTTCAGTTATAGGAGCATGAGGGTTCCGCACTATTTCTCGTATATACATTTGCAAATAGTACCCACACTCGATAGAACCTAGTTGTCGAGGACACTATGAAAATTTGAAAAATAACAAAATTATGAGTTATACAAAGGATTTACTACGACATTGTTATGATTTATGCAAATTTACCTTCACAGGTTTCCAAATTGTAGTACTGCGAGATTGTTGAGTAGAATGTTTGGCTTGCCACATTTTCAATAATCTAAATAATTTGAAACATTAGAATAACATAATTGTAAAAATTTTAACTATAAGAGTTCAAGGCACTTACGTGTTTATGATTCCCTTATAATTTTCTTCAATCTTACTTCTTAGAGAGTCCAATACATAAACACAATTCTCTCAGAGATGTATAACAAACAACTTCCAGTGAAAACTATTAATAACCAACATGATAATATTATCATTCATGCATGGATAAAAGAAACTATAAATAAATAAAATGAAGTTAAATTGCTAGCTTACCCACTGTTACGTGGGATGAGTACTACTTGTTCTAAGTTACCCATGTCTAACCTGTTGGCTAGATGTCTGGAACAAGTTTCTTGAGACATTATTTGTGGTACAATGTTGTCTGGGTCAACCACCAAGAACTTCTTACATGTCTTCTTCTTACATTTATTCAAAAGATACCTAAAAATATAATTGTAAAACATTAAACTTCTTAGTTAACGAATCTAAGATATGAAATAGATTTAATATACTTACGAAATGTATGTGAGCACACACATCTAGCCTATTTCAATCATCTCGCAGTATTGCATGATGTCCTCACGTGTTGAACTAATGATCTTCTCTCTTCCAAATATGTAATCAGCAATATTGAATCCAATGACATCCTTGTGGTTCATCGTATGCATGGCATATTGATTTAGGAGTTTAATAGTCATATGGACATCAATATGTTTAGATGATTGTGTTATTGGCTTCAACGTTCAAGGAGAAGGAACCTTTGACAAACAAAATGACAAATATTTAACAAATGAAAAATTAAAACCTCACTCAAGTTAGAACAAGACATACCTTTTTCTCCTCATCTAAAATTACTAGTCTACGAAGCCATGCCATGAAGCTACCAATGGTTTGATTTAATGTCTCTATCTCCCCCTTAACAGGAATTGGTAGTGTAGCATTTTCACCAATGACAATGTCTACCATGACTCTCACATTGTCCACACCTAATGGCATTCCATGAATTGTTGGACATCTTAATTTTTTGGTTTTGAAAAAGACTAAAATCTAATAAAAAAATGTGTGTTTTACTTTAAACGGATGAATAAGGAAAATAAAAGGAAAATATTAGGGCCGTTTTGATAATTATTAAGGGATCATAGTCTTTTTTTTTTTAGGAAACATATATATATATATATATATATATATATATATTAATGAAACAACTTCTTATAAGTACTTTTGGAAAGAAAAAACGCTTTATAAGTGTTTTTAGAACCTGTTAAAATATTTTTTATTATCTAAATTCTAACCATTTGGTTCAAAATTCATTTCAAAATGACCCTAAAAGACCAATTGGTTTTATTTTGAAAAAGAAAAGAAAACGTAAAGAAACAAATTTTGCCAACATAAGGAAATTATAAGGCAGAAAAAATCACAAACCCAGAAGGCAAATAAAACTAACATATAAAAATTAGCATACATTACAATTTACATGCAATGGAAAGAAAACTAACATCATGACCATTAAAAACCAACATTATATGGCATAAATATCGAGAGCAATTAATATAAACTATCATCTTCAAAGACATCTCCAAATACAATTGTTTAGTAAGAGATAAAACTCGAAAAGTAAAATAAATGGATAATTTCTGTAATACAAAAACACAAGCCAAAGAAACCAAGAGAACCACAAAAAGAATAACACTAAATGGTTATAATTATTCCAAACCTACAAATTTGCATGCTTGGCCTTAGGTGCAAGTATCTCAAATGAGTGAACAACATGGTGATATTTATACTAAAAAAAAAAGATGAGAAGTGAAAACACAGAGTCCGAGTTTGCAAACAATCAAATTTGTATTATTTGATTTTATTACCAATTGACCGACCTTAAACCTAACTACAATTTCCACAGAAAAAGAACAACGCAACTTCTCAAAAACAAAATTCAATCATTCCTCACAAAAATATCCTTTACGGCA